TGGCAGTCAGCGATCGAGCAAATTCGTAAAAATATTTTGAGGTCGTCTGCATATGCTAATCGAGGTCCTTCGATAACCAGGTTCACGTCGTTGAAGTAGAGTAGAAAAATCAACGGTCCCAGATGGCTTCCCTGCGGTATACCTGATGTGGCAAAGAAGCTAGCTGATTTGCAATCTCCTATAGCAACCATAAGTTGGCGACCAGTAAGATACGAACGGAACCAACTCAAGAGATTACCGCTCACCCCAAGCCTGTCGAGTTTAGCAATCGCAATGTCATGAATCAACTTATCTGTACCCGTTCAGTCATACTATCGGTAATGTAGGATGTGAGGCATAGCAGATTGGTGGTTGTAGAGCGACCGCCAGTAAACCCGTATTGATCAGCACTCAGATACTGCTTGCTGTGAGAGAGCAACGGTTCCATAATAACAAGCTCGAATAGTTTCGAAACAGCACTCAGCGATGTAATTCCACGATAGTTATCCACGGCTCGTTTGCTTCCCTTTTTGTGGACAGGAAACATGTGTGCACATTTCCAGAAGGATGGAAATATACCACTGGAGAGAGACATCCGGAATAGACGGTGAAGTGGAGTTAACAAGCAAGCAATATGTTTCTTCAAAAACACGGACGGAACTCCATCGGGTCCAGGGTTGAAGGACGATTTGAGCTGCGTTGCAGCGTTAGAAATCATCTCAACGTTGACATCAATTGCACTCAGCGTTTGACCATTTAGTGGGATGTTCCTGGCTGCGAGGGAAACATGGTCGTCACTTAGTCTCTCATCAGTGAACACACTGGCAAAATTGACAGAAAAAAGGCGACAAATATCCTGCGGAGTGGAAGCGACTTCACTGTTCAATTCCATTGACGATGGGAGGCCAGATTCTCTGCGTTGCTCGTTCTCGTAGTTCCAGAAGGATTTCGGGTGAAGTTTAAGGTTACGCTGAATACCTCGTTGAAATCGCAGAAAGCATCGACGACTGGCTCGCTGATACTCGTGATTAAGCCTCACGTAGTGATGTTTCAGAGGAAGCGTGCGATACTTCGTAAATCTTCTTAATGCTGCTCTCTTGATCGACTTCAACCTACGCAGCTCAATCGTCTGCCAGGGAGGGTGAGAGTCTTTGCGTTGAATTCTTTTCGGGACGTGTCTGTCAATGACATATGCCAAGACATGAGAAAAAGTTTACGCAGCGGCCTCAACGTCGTCATGATCGAGAATGTTCTCCCAGTCCATGTTTGACAACACATCTACAATGCTTCGATGGTCGGCCTTTCGAAAGTCATAAGAAACCGCAGCAGGAAGACTATCGAAATCACGAACGATATTGTCCTCAACAGTGAAAATCAGAGGAGGGTGGTGCGGAACAAGCTTAACTAGTGGACAAGGTGCTGTGGAAATGAACGGAGCATTGTCCTGAGTGCTCACGAAGCAGAGGTCCAAACTACGGTTGTTCTCGTTGACTACGTCGTTAATTTGAGAAAGCGTTGCTACGCTATAGTTATCGAGAAGGCCGATAGCTCCTGCATGAAATACAGAACGTTCTGGATCTGGATAGAGGAAGCCGCTATGGGATGATCTCCACGAAACGCCTGCTAGGTTAAAGTCCCCAAAAATGAATAGCTCATCAATTGGAGTCGCTCTTTCCATTACTGTGAAGACTGATTGACAGTGAGTCTCGATGAGTTCAAGATCACGAACTCGATCTGGTGGCATGTACAATGCGCACAAAAATAATGTGCGACAATCACATCATAGCAACGATCCGATACAGCAAGCCGGTAGTCGTCAACATCAGAATTCATTCCGCCGGCGTTTTGGAAGAAAATCACGATGTCCTGCTTGCGGCTTACAATCGAACGTCTGTTCTCCCTAGAAATCACGGAAGCATCAGGCAGCGAATGAACATTAACAATACCATGCGGATACTCGCCATAGTGACAGGGTTGGAAGACCCCCTCTCCACATCCGACTACAGGTCCGGAACGACTATGGTGAGCGGCGGCAGCAAATGGCTGGACTGAGACGGAGGGATCAGGGGCTTCCACGAGGCTTTCTACGGCGCGTTCCAGGCTCCGAGGTACGAGAGTTGATTCGGCGGCATTCAAGGTGCTGAAATTTGGATCGGCATCAGACATCGTATTTGCGCTATTAATTATGTACTCGCCTGTTCTAGCAAGTTGGAAGACCCCCAATCCACATCTAAAATCAGGGCCAGGATGACTATGATGAACGCTGACAGGAATTAGCACGACTGAGTTAGAGGAACCGGGGGCTTCCATAAAGCTTTCCACGATGCGTCCCGGTTGCAAAGCAGATTGGTTCATCCAGAGTTCAGAAGACATCGAGCTTACTACGTCGTTTTCAGAAGGCTAGGTTGGATCGGATGGTTGCGTTAAGTATTCGCTGCTGGAAGCGGAAGGTGGCTCAGAAAAAGAAGGTTTTGGAACGTATCGATACTTGCCTGTAAGTACAGGCTGGAAGACCTCGTCACCGATTCCAAAACCAGGGCCAGGACGACTTCTGATGATTAGATCTACAAACAGCTCGACTGGTTCGGAGGGATCAGAGGCTTCCGAAGCGCTGTGTTGTTGCGTCCCAGATCCGCCCAACAGCACGTTAGTAATTGAAAAGGAAGTATCCTGGAATTGGTGTCACTGTGCTGGACCAATACGGGTGATTTTGGTCACCTTCTTTGACCGGGAATCATCGAACTCACGGAACTGAATGCCCTCCGGCCACGAATCGCAGGAAAGGGCAACATCCCGTTTGTTTTGGTTGACGCCGACTTTGAAGGAAACGTAGTTTAACGTTGATGGATCTTTTCCTCTAGGAACCAACTTGGCAACCCGAGGTTTCTCGTCTGTTTCTAGACACAAACACTTAGAGACAAGAGATGAAATTTCATCGTTCGTAGTAGTGGGATGAAACGCCGATAAGTAAACCCACACCAGATCATCGTTCAGGTCCACGGTTCTGACCGAGTCGATAGGTGCTTTCTTACCACACAGTATGGGCTTGTCGTCAGTGCTAGATGAAGTACGGCGACGTTTCGGGGTGCCACGACCGGAATCAAAGCGGTCATCTTTAGGCCAACGTGGAGTTGAGCTGACTGGGATCTTCGATTCCACTTTGGCTGCAAGAGCAATAACAGCCGAATTCAATTTCTCGATGTCCTCTTTCATCGAATCAACCGCGTTTGGAGCCACAGAAGTTTGATTGACGTCACGGCTCACGATATTACGGAAGTGGCCGTTTGAAAAAAGCACCGCACAGTGATCGCACATCCAGAAGACATTCTTCTCGTACAATCCAAGTTGATCGAGAAGTTCGAGATCAACTTTGGCACAAATCACGTGAAATGTGTCACCACAAAAACCGCGACAAACAATACGTTCGGAGTCCGAAATGGTTTTTTGGCACTTCTTGCAAGCCATGATCACAAAAAATGCGACGCAAACTTTATACACGCAACAAAGACTACCACGTAACGAAAAACTATAGCAAATTTCCGATGCGCGAAACGAGGCAATCAGACGTAGAAACACTACTCAATACACAAAAGTACGGTAGCAGAGTGTAATGCAACAAGAGATACTGACGATTTGGTACGCTAAGTACGGTAGCAGTAGTGCAGCGACAGATACAAAACAAAAAATGTAAATAAAATGAAGATTGACACCACTGTTCCACGGGACGACACTTTTAATCTACAATTTCTCAACTTATCCACAAAGCTACACGAAATCCTACACTTCACAGAGGTACACCAAACGATCTATAACACAAAACACTACTAAAACAGTTCAAATTTACAAGGGTAAAACGACGATTTGTCACCAGCGGGTTTACGTTTTCAACTATTTCAGTGAAGCTCTATCATGTGATCAAACAGTTTATAGAAATTACACTTTAGCTGCAAGCTTGCGTGTAGCAGTATATTATCAACTCCCTTATTTACGCATAATTTTAACATCTATGCTTATGAGTGATTAGTATTCATTCTTATCTTATAATTCCATGCACACGTATCGATAAAAGAAGCTTTTATTTAGCATCTAATATGACAAACACGGTTTTGCGCTCAAGTTATTAATGAAAGAGAAAGTTGACGAAGAGAATCGATCAATGTTACTTAGGACCTAATGCAATGTTCAGCTTGCAAAGTTAAGGACAAAACGCTGATTGTAACCAAATAACGAGAATGTCATGAACGAGTTCTCTTTTTTGCTCTGGAATAAAGCGCCAATTTGCGTGCGGTGTTGAAAGGATGTAAACAAAGGCAAGAAAATTTATATTTTTCAGGTAAAATTACTTGAAAATTGAAAGTGATCGACTCCGCTTCGCTCGGGTTTCTACCAATGATGGCTGTTGTTTAAAGACATAAAAAAGCAGCTTCAATGCTTCTCGATTAATACATATAACAACCATTGTCGATACCTTCCAGTTAATGTTGAATTATATTGATATATTTCAGTGTCAGAAATCTAATTACCAATGCATATTGAGATTTTCTTCTTATGCTAGTTGGCACCTCGGAATGACATTAATTTGCTCACCACCACCCAATGTTAAAATCATATCTTGATATAATACGTGCTCATTTATGATGGAAAAGGAATCAAATTTTAACATCCACATTAAGCATTTGCTCATATGCCAATATGATCATACTTATTGCCGCATGTCCCCAAACTCATGTACATCACTGTATTCACACACACCCACTTGCGTCGAATGTGAAATGAAAAACATCGCATATACACCACACACCTGCTGGTAGCCTACATTTCGGCGACTTTGTGTCGCGGCGGGATTAACCTTATTCTCTTCGCACCACACTACGTGCGATGTTCGCAATTCACTCTACTCGATCAATCCATTCGTTAGCATAGTTTCATTTACCTTTCACGATTTACCTACTTAAGAAAAAAAAATCTAATTTGATTTCGAATCACACCTCTAATGGCATCTCCTTTCCCTTCATTCGCAGGACGTCCCTCTTCATCGTAACTAGTCTAGTCTACGCCATGCTGCTGATAGTGGTCTGCGTCGCGTACGTAATCAGCGACGTGACCACCCATCGGCTACCCGTCATCTACTACGAAGGATTCTTCACCTACCTGTACGGAGCGAGTATCGTGTTCCTGTTGTACGTGTTCTGCTTCCTGTTGCAAGGTAGGAACTTCAAATCGTCGGAATCTTTCCCGCTCACCTATTTCCATCCAATAACCCCAACAGAAAGCACTTGCTGCAATTCGAAGCCCAAACCACCGAAGGAAAAGAAACCAAAGAAGGAGAAAAAGCCAAAGAAGGGCGACCCGGAGGCCGGAGGTAAGGACGCCGGCAAGGACGGAGCAGCCAAAGACGCCGGAAAGGATGGCAAAGACGGTGCCAAGGGAAAGGAGGAAAAGTCCGGCAAGGGATCGCAATCGGGCAAACCCAGCCCCTATCAGGTGATTTGTCGATTGGTGCTCGTTGTTTCAAATACCCCCTTCCCCCCCTTTCTAAATGTAGTCGTTCTAATGCACATTCTGATATAGGTTCTCTTCTTATCGGTTGGCTAAATTTTTGTCTTATTCTTTTTTTTTCAAAATTCGACCGTTAATCACCGTCACACACACAAAACATGTAACACTCGACAAAAAAAAAATGACTTGTAACTCGGACGGACAAATTGCTAAAAAGGAAGTCTATCCGAAGAAGAAACGCGATCTGGTGCGGCAATCGCAGCAGAGATTGGCCGGTGGTAGTAGTGGTAGTGCTAGTAGAAGCGGCCAACAGCGAAGTCAACCGCCGCCGCACCAGGTACTTCAATGCCCATTTCAATCCAATCCAATCAGAGAGCTGGATGATGCGATACGCGTGTGTGTGTGTGCGTGTACTGTTTTGAGTTACATAATCGGGAGTTCCAATTACCATTATTCGGTGATGGTTGTTGCTAACCCAATTGCTGCTGTGCGTGTGTGTATTTGGATTGAGAGTATACTAACCTTTAAGCGGTATGTAACTATTGGGTGATACTAACCAGCGCTGATCATTTCCCACCGTCCATTCACTAATGTCAATGCTGTCACAATATGTGGTTTCAGGATTCTTAATTAATTGGAAATTAACTAATAAATGTTCGACAGGTGAGCAGTGACTTGAAATTTTCCTGAGATCCAAGTTGTTGAAGACTGGAATGCGTCTTTGGTAGAATCTGTAGACCAACCATAAGGAGCAGGAACCCAATAAACTAATGCTAAACTATTGATAACCTTAAATAGATGGATCATGGCAGTTTTGTCTCATACAAATTGTCTCATGATATGCTGTGTGGAGAAGTTCCTGATTTAGATTGAACTGGGTAAATAAATCCATGTTTCTTTGTCACCCTCAGTACTTGTAGGCCTGCTGAAAGGGTTCTAAACACGACTTAACCATTTTTGAACTTCACTTGAAGTATTCTAGTCAACATTTTGGTCCATATTGGAGCATATATAGGGTTACCATATGGTATCCTAAAGGAGGACATGTCCTCCTTTTTCAATAATTTTCTACATCCTCCTTTTGCCCGAAAATGTCCTCCTTTTTAATCCTTGCATTTTTTTCCAGTAACATATTCATAAAATTGATTTCAAAGAGCGTTCTTTGCAGAGCTTATTTGTTTAATTATGTCGCAACCTCATCTTATCTAGCAAATGCCATTCGATGGTGGGACTAGAAGTATACTACAGCTGCCAACCCCCTACATTTAGTGCTGTGACGAAGTCGTTCCATCTGGTAGGCACAAATGAAGTAATTTTCAGAGGCGTTCTTTTAGCATCATGTTCAATCTGTAGCTTGTGCAGTTTATCTGTTGCGATTGTTGATCTCCGAAAAAAGGCAACTATCTTCTTTACTTTATCTATCAGTTCTGATAGAGCGTTTGTAGTTTCAATGGATTTTTTTGGATATGTTTATCTTCAGAGAAAGTATCCGCAACAGATTTTAACATATTAGATGCATGGTCTGTAACAATCATGCCCACGTGTTCTTTGGGAATTGCCCAATGTTTAAGAACTTCCTCAAAGCAAGTTGAAATGTATGCACTATAAACGCCCAAGTCAATCGTTTGGAGACTTTTAGAAATTTGAGGGCTCAAAAAGTGACAAGTTACTCCCAAATAGCTCCTAGTAGTATGGCTATCGGTCCAGATGTAGGCAGTAATGGTCAAGTCTTTATCTTTGATTTTTGTGTTGACACACTCGACCACTTTCGAATACTTGTCGTCAACTAGCTTTGTCATGAGCTTTCGATTGGGAATTTTGTATTTAGGTGTCAGAATTTTCAATAAGTTAACAAAGCCCTCGTCTTCCACAATAGAGAACGGTTGATAATCTTTCACAATCATAAATGCGATCGCTTCGTTAATTTCTCTGGTTTTCGGTCCATCATCTAGAATGTTAGAATTAATTTCCCATTATTAATAAAATAACATGAGCTTGATAATCGTGCTATAATATATATTATTTGATAACTGGTTATGCGTCATATATATAGAGGTAGTATACTACCATGGTTGGTATCAGGAAATAATCTGTCAAACTACAACAAACCATACAATACACAACACGACTTCTCGGATATTCTACGGAGTTCTTGGAAGATCTACGGTCCTTTCAGATATTTTACTGACTTTTTAAGTTCTACGAGCTTCTCAAAAGTTCTACAGACTTCTAGAAAGTTCTACGGACTTCTATATATATGACTCAGAACCAGTTATCTATTTTTTGCGGAAGCTTTTGAACAGAGTTAGACTGAAAACCTCCATAGTATAATTCCAAATTCGCTTTACCCATAGTAAATATTTAAAAACGAGTGAATTTTTAACCTCAAACAGATTTTAAAACAAAAAAAGTAGAAGGGTCTGTGTCTAGGGGCACGAACGGAAGCTTGACGTAGGACCGCTAGTGGACGGAACAAATGTGAACATTTAGTTTTTTTTTTAATTGATCAATCATCAATTATCTTAACTTAACTTTCCGTTTTTTTATTTGTAAGCGTATCAAATTTGTAGTATTTATTTCAAAGAGAAAGTTGATGAAGAGAATCCAAAGGACTGTCAACTTGAGTATTTTCGATTCATATACCCGACTGTTGGCGAACCTGGATGAAGCGGCGGTGGACACGGCGAACAGGGCAGCAGCAAAGCAGGAACTACACCAGTGGTCAGCGAAGCAGGAACAAACGGGGCAACTAGTGGTACAATTCGTGGAGTACTTTTCTTCCATGCAGTGAGGAACACGTGTTTTTGATAAAGACCAATTTTATACTGATTTAACGAGAGCCAACCGATCATTATTTTCCCTAGCTGGTTGAGTTCGGGGTTTATAAGGCACGATCGTGAAGCGATCGGATCTAAAGGAGATAATGATATGGAGTGATAAGCTAGTCTACCTACTCTCGTATCTTATCGTTTGGCTCATTATGGATTGGAGGTATAACATTTCAATTTTTAATGGGGTTCTAATTTTGGGATACAAATTTCAACAGTGTTCCCCTACTTATTAAGTTCTTCAACACCGACTTTAAAAGGTGTATTTTGAACTTTTTGATATTTATGAATTCTTAAGTTTTGTGCATTTTGGTATTAAAGTGTATTCAATTCACCCCTCACAGCATTTCTTTCCGAATTATATGAATGGGGCGGGGCGGAAAGTATCGCTTGTGCAGAATAGGTAAAAAAGGAGGGACTTCGAGAGATTGAACTCGTGAGAGCTAATTTTCTCACAAATTTGATATTATTGGCTTTCTGGGGACTGAATATACATCCAAAGCGAATTATTCCGACTTCTCTCAAATTCTATATGGATTTTTAACACTTCCAACCAGCGTGTTCTGGAAAATGATCGGACGATGATTAATCTCACCAATACATTCGGGCCTACAATTCCACACCTTCTATAGAGACCAGGTTGAGCCTTGATAACTAGCTGCTTGCGGGAACTGATGACCTTGACAAATGTCCAAATAATACTCTTCATAAATTTACGGTGATCCTGAAAAAGACCGTTTTGTAGTGATGGTTGAGTAATGCTGAGCGAGCTGAGCTGCTATTGGTCGAAACTTGACCCCTTTCCGTAATGCTGTGCATTTTAGTTTTTTTTTAAATTGCGTGGATTCTATAGATCCTGTGGAAATCTATCTAGCCCTGATGTATGTGTTAGTAGAGGGTATAATGTAAACTTTGCGGGAGACGATGTCTTAACACTCGAAAGTAATTTTGTGAAATATGAAGTAAAACAAATCCTAGCTAGTTCTGCATTATGATTTTGATTGATTTTATTTATTTGTAAAGTCGCCGGGAAATACCAGCTGGCGATTTGTTTTTTATGATAACTCCGTACTTGAAAACAGGCAAAAACTCACAAACATGCTGCTTTTTCATGGTATACAGTGTGATAATTCAATAATCAATAAATTATCGCAACATTTAGTGGCAAACCATTCATAAATTTTGGTAACATACAAAAAATTCTATAGTCCACACTAAATTTCATATGTAAACGTAAGAAACGAATCGTGCGGAATGAGCCGAGGAAAAACTAATTGCACCAATATATTCAGGCCTACAATTCCATACCTTCTATAGACAGGTTGAGCCTTGATAGCTAGCTGCTTGCGGGAACTGATGTCCTTGACCAATGTCCAAATAATATTCTTTAACAGTTTTTTTGGTGGCCCTGAAAAGAACCGTTTTGTAGTGATTCTGAGCTGGGTGCTCAATACGGATGAGGCTGTCGAGCTGTATGTCGTTTGGAGCGAGGGTGACACGCTTAGCATAGATGACCGACCCGCAGCGACTCACGAAGAGCTACTGATTCCGATCCATAGCATAGCGGTGCAGCTTCTTCCTCGTTTGATGGTTGCTTATGTGTGTTTTGCAGCTCGCTGCTTGCAGGCAGCCTATCGTTGTTACTGGAGAACAATTTTCAACGCCACACGCCGAAAGCACTGCTACTGCTGCTACTGCTGCTACTAATTTCGTAGACCGAACACCATCACACAGTGGTGTGCTCGTCGGGAGCGTGTGGTTCTGAGTATGGCGATGAGTGTGCAAAATATTACGCAATTCCATCCTCCCTATTCGCACGCGCCTGAAGATCGGAGGCGAATGCCACTTTGACTTGTTTCGTCTACTTACTACTCTCTGACGACTGTGCTGGGGAAGCAGCATATGCATGTAGGTAATTGGTGGATTTGTTAGTTAAATCGACGCTTTTGGACAATGCTGGACATTTCCCAGTTTTTCAATAGTTTCTTGTTTAAAATCAACATTTGGAAGAATTGTTGTCGATGCGTAGCCATATTTCTGATCGATTGGTGATAAAATTATTGAAATTGGACCAAGGACAGCTGAGTTATTAATGTTCAAAATCTTTCTTAATTTGTTACATGTTCCATTTTTGGTTTTCTCAAAGTGTACCCCCATATAGAAATCAAAGACGTAGTCCTACGTCAAAATAACATAAAATTCCTGTCCAAAGTTGCGTTTCTTTGAACATTCGATCTATTGTGGATGCCGATGTGGATGGTTCTGCATATACGAAGCTTGTACTGGAAGTAGGAGGTTGAACCAAATCTTGTTCCTGATCCTGACACTTGGAGTCGAAAAATATTGATTAATCTTTGATTTATCCGATGTTTATAGCTACCATATTCATTTATGTATTTATCCGATTTAAATGGTATGTGTGTCAAAAACTCAATAGTCGTCTCTTTCATTACTGCGTAATTGGCGTTGACGTTGACGGCATTAGTTCAGCCGGGAAACTCTCTTTGCA